CATGACAAGGATATCCTACCACACATTAACAAGGCTGCCACATTCACTCAATCACAACTACTCTCAAAAACCACTTCCACCAACCATACACGCACACTCCCATTTGTCATACCATACAACCCAGACCTAAAACCACTACGCCACATTCTCCCACAACACTGGGAATACATTCAAAATGACCCCACTCTATCACAAATATGGCCAAATCATCCTGTTGTGGCTTATCAAAGACACAAAAACCTAAAAGAACATTTTGGGCGCACCAAACACATCAAACCATTAAGTCACAATACCACAACACACCACCTAACCCCGGATAATACCACACATTACCTCACCCCATCAATTAAACCAATGGGCCATCCCAAATTACCTTTGACCAAAGATTAAAATCTCCACCACCCAGACACAACTCACAGAACCAGCTCCATCAAGCGACAACCAACAAATCGAAAGAGCACACCCATGGAGACCACATTGGAGTCATTCAACAAACTACAAACCACCTGCAGCCACGTTGACAAATCTGGACCCCTCAGACAACACAACCTTATCACGAATAAACATTTAAGATCACATAAACAAACAATATGTACAAGAAATACGTACAAAAAAATATGTACAAAAAATACATTAATTAATGGCATGGATGGCAGACAATCAAACCATACGATGTCGGCCATAAACATACAGTTGTACAAATAGTTATAATATTCATTATTCAACCACCATCACACAGCAATCCAGGGTGCATTCCGTGCACGTTTCGTGGAAGAACTTCGGCGTGAGTTTTGGGTTGCTGGCGCACAATCACGTCGAGGTTGGCGCACAATTTCAGAGTTTTCGTAGTTGGCGCAGGATCACATGGTTCCGTCTGGTGTTTAAACGGGCCTGTAATTTCTTAGAAAAATCGGGAATTTCCTAATTTTGTATAATAATTTAGAGTTAGTGATGTAACTATGATTGGCTAAATAATATATCTGTTCAGTGTTACAATTGAGTCATTGAGATCAGTAATGAAAATTAGATTAATTCGTACTGGGTTATTTGGGTTACCTGTATACAAAAAAAGGGCGCGAAATGGGCGCAAGCAAAATACAGACTTCAACACATCGGCACCGCTAAATTGGAAAATGATCACATAACTCGCCATGTAACTGATGCCGTAAGGACGAGTTGTTCTCCTACTAAGAACGCATTTTTTAAAAGTATTTAATCAATTTATCAGTTTTAGCCATGGAACACTATTGTGCAGTTTGCTCAAACGTGGTAGGCAATGCGCATACATGCTACACATGCAACAAGTTTGTACACATCATATGTGGTATTCCAGAAGGAGAAGAAGGCTTTGGTCAGAAATTGAAATGCAACAACTGCACACAAAAAGGTACGGTAGCAAGTTCAATTCATTGTTACATCACATTAATATGTTTATCACAGACACATACATATTACATTTAAAGCTGAAACTGAAGGAGATCAACATTCACATGTGCCGAAAACAGCTAACTCATTGAAGAGAAAGTTAAATTGGGATTGGTTAAAAGGAGGCATGGTTGAGCAACCGATACCAAAGAAAATCCAGAAGATAAGTGAAACTTATGTTTGCCTGGAATGTCTTGAGAGGTCCTTGAAGGGTAATTTTGAAGAGAAAAATGCGAGTATTTGCAGAAAAAATGTATCTACTATTGATCGGCATAAAAGAAGATGGCACACTACTACAAATAATTATTCCTGTACAGTAGTTCCATCTAGTGCCCCCGATGTCCGACAGTTGTATGCGAGGTATGCTAAAGCTAAAAAATTTTATACAGAAGCTCCAAAGGATAATAGTAGGCCTCAAACAACCAATGCTCTTGCAAGTACAAGTCACTCAACTAGCCAAAAAACGTTGCTGTCCTTTTATCACTCGAAAACCGTTGAAGATCCAATTCAACCAACTGAGCAAGGAACCCATCAGAATTCTAAGGAAGTAGCGCCGTTGACCAAAGCCTGTAGTGATTTGCCCGAATTAGGTGATCAGGAATTCCAAGAAAATAACTCAAATTTTGCAGATGGGACGAAATTCACGAAACCCAACAGAGATTCATCTCGATCAACTAGCCAAGCTAATATCGACGACGTAATGAAAGCTTTAACTAACTTGTCTTTAAAAGTTGAAGACTTTGGTAAACGACACAATAACTTGGAGCAACTCGTGGCTGAAGATAATGAAGTCCTCAAATCTCTATCGGCAATGCGAACGGCGAGCAACATCAATCAGTTGGCCGAGGCATCCAAATACCTCGAATTCTTTTATGACGATGACTCGGGCACTGGATTATTACGTTGCAACCCTTGCTTTAAGATGCAAGTTACAGCCAGGCCTACTCTTAATAGCCTATCCCCATTACAAGCCCAAAGAATAATTAATTCTTGTGGGACTGGAACACTTGGCACCGGAAAAATCTTGAGCAATGATGTCACTCAACTCCTGATAGAGGGTCACAACCAGACCTGGTATAGGCAGAAGAAGTTGTGCATTGACCACATGTGTTTGCTGGGTGATGGTAACAAATTGCACAAGAAGGCTATGGAAACGCTCAGGAAAGAAGAGGAAAGGGAGAAAAGAGATCAGCCAGCAAGCAACATATTTCGAGCGGCTATTGTTGATCTGAAGCTAGGAGCAGCAGCAAGACATTTGGAGACTTTGATCTCCTTCTTGTCATGTTGCTCAGTCGATGTTGGAAATATCGGACATAGCAGAAACAATTTCAATGATATTCTTTCTTGCTTGGAAAAGTCAGTGAACCGCAGAATCAATTCGTGGTTAAACGAGCCTCTACCTTCAACGTTACTACCACCACATTTCTGGGCCACAATCGATAAAGCTACACCATCGCGCACAACTAATCAAGCTGTCCTTGTTGTAGCTCGGAACGAAAATGGAATTCCCTGTCCAATTCCTGTTGCTGCTCCGCAAGTCTATAAAGAGTTCGCCCCAGCTACGTATGACGCTATGGCAGAACTTTTAATCAAGTCAATTAAGGACAACTTCTCAAAAGATGTTCTGTCAAGGCTATGTGGTATCGCGGCTGATGGTCCTTACCAAGCAGCAGGATTCCGTGAAAGGCTTTTACAAGAACTGGGAATTGAAGACATCGATAATAATCAACTTTCATTTCCAGTAACGTGGGATGCAGCTCATCTGCTAAATCTTGGAGTGGTTGAAGTAAAAGACCGAAGTTCCAGTAGCGATCATTTCAAAACATTCTTGAACAGATGTAATGTTTTTAACACCATTCTTGCAAATGGAAAGGGCTTTGCTTTCCTGCAACTCGTCGACAAAGAAGCAAGAAGGCCAGTTGCTTATGCTGCTCAAAGATTCGCCAGTTCTTCGTACGAACAGTGGCTTAAAATTGAAAAGAGTTACAGCGCATTGTGGAAAGCGTTCGACATGTTGTATCCAAACCGAACTGAAGACGAACAGTACCAGTATATGATAGCTGGATCAGATTTTATTGCTGACCTATTGTCATTCCTCGACATATTGGAGCCAGTGGTTGATTTGATGTTAAGAGTCCAGTCACTTGATGTTCCCATCTGGAAGCTAAAACTTTGGTGGCCCAAAGTTAAAGCTAAACTGGAAAAGGCTGCAAACGGCGATGCAAACTCCTTTCCGAGACTGCAAGAAGTTGGAGATAGCTTTCATCATTACCAAGGTGTTGAACTTCTTCCCGGGTGGTTGGTGACTAATCAAGGTGGTGGAGACGGAGGGAGAGGTGTATTAAACTGGACACAACGAGAAGAGGTGGAAATTGAACAAGACCGTCTGCAACTGGCATCTGACCTAATGAACGCTCTTGACAGAAGGGTTCAGACAATTCTTCACGATCGCTGTTTGTCCACGCTCCAAGTGTTTGATGCTTCGGCCCTTGTTGCTCTACAGTGTGGTACTTGTGAAGACGATATCTTGCAAAAGGATGTGTCGGACGGAAAATACGAAATGTATGGCGTGGAAGAATGTCAAGCGGTATTGGCTGCTGTTTCAAAAATGACCCATATTGTGAATTCAGGAATGGATTTTGATCCGCGTTTGGCATTTCGATTCATGGAGAAGATTAAGAAAGCTGTCAAGATTGGTATTTGGGATGGACTTTGTTTAGATTGGTTTGTACTCGCTGAAGGCACCACCGCATTACCTGTGAACAGTAAGCTTACGTTCTTCAAGCCTGTTGAGACAAAAACACTTGACACAATGTTCAAATTGAGATTCCAAAATGGTCAAGAGTTCAAACTGGTGTTTGCCCCCATTGAAGAAATGTGACGACATCATCAAAGAGGCTGTCAGATTGTACTTCACAGGGGACGGTCCTGACGGTACGTTGAGACGTCACCGAAGTTATTATGTGCAATCTAGCCGTGCTAATGAGTATTTGGTGTCTAAAGTTGTCGATCGATTGGATGGCGAATTAGGTCGTTGTCCTTTCCTGGCAAATGAATAAACTTACAAACGTCCGATATCAAAAACATTGCACAATTGAGTTAGTAACTTGCGTTTTAATACCTTTCATAGTAGAAAGTCATTGAAGTTAAACATTAGGCCAAGTGTACACTGAGAACACAACTAAGTACCATTACGAACACCTATGAACATTTCACTTACTTCAATTATGTTGATTTGTCTGTTCAGTAAATGAAATGTGAATTGAGAAAGTCTAATTGTTATATTTTCTTCTGTACTTCTCTGAATATTTTTTTTTACAACGGTACCTGACATCATAGGGAGCGCACAAAATGGGCTCACTTGGCGCATGGCAAAAGAGCCTCAAGTCACCTTCGGCGCGAGGTCTACACAGAATGCACCCTGGACAGCAATACATGTAAATAATACACGTTATCGGAAACTAGGAATGTTCGCTCCGTTGTTGCGTAGCAACACGCTAATGGAGGTAAACAATTCAAAATGGCCGCGCGTAGTAATAATATTTCAACCACTATATCAATTAAATTACATGAAATTTAAGTCATCGAGGGCGGGAATGTATATGATATGTATAATTTAAGTATAATTTTATAAAATATCTTTTTAAACCAACAAAAATGGCAAAAAACAGCGATGATGGAAGCCGGGATGCAGATGTTGCAATTATGAAACTTGATATGACTCTAAGTGATTTCAAATTGATGAAAATTGAAGCACTGAGAGATTTTCTTTCATTACGTAAAAAGTCAACCGATGGTGATTTTGAGACACTAGTATCGAGGTGCGTTTTATTTTATACCTTTTATAAACTTTGATGCGTTTAGGCTACTCCCTAAATTTGAATTTTTCACGCTTCCTCACAAAATACATTATTAATATTTTAGGGCCTTTGCGGCGTGGGAGGAAAATGTGCCAGTAGATATAACTGCTGAACAGCAACTAATATCTACCAAGAAAGAATACAAAATGAAACTCATAATCGGAAAAACCATTTTGCCAGATCCTTTAACACTTAAGAAAAAAGAGTGGATTGGAGAAGAGAATGGTGGTCTTCAGGAATGGCCTCCTATTTATTATCACGATATTGCAAACTATCTATATGGAATAAACGCACCAGATGATTTATTGCATCGTTTAAACAATGACTATAAAGAAGGGAAAAGTTACAGGTATTTCGCATGTGACTTTGTCAAGGAGATTTTCTATCACCCTGTGAGTGTAGAGAGCAAAATATGTTTTTTAAAATGTAAAGTCACACCCTCACAAAGAACATCTTCAACTCCCTATAATGTTTGGGTTGCAGCTGAAAAGAAGGGACCCGGAGGAAAAATTGTAAGTGGTTATTGTACATGTACTGCCGGCCTTCTTGGAAGTTGTAACCATGTTACAGCAATGCTCTTCCGGATAGAGGCTGCTGTTTCAAGTGGCGTAACAAAACCTACTTGTACCAGCAAGTTATCAACATGGAATGTGCCTGCTGCAACAAAGTCACTTCTTTCTATAAAGCCAATTGGTGAACTCACTGTTGTGAAAGCAAGTTACAGAAAAAGAAAAGGAACATCAGAAAATGAACCCAACTGCACTGCTTACAAAAATTTTTCACCTTATGAAACGAAAGAGGTTGAAAATCCAGAATCAATGCGGAAAAAAATATACAGTCTTGTAAAAGACCACATCCCTGAATCTCGCTTTGTAGAAATCATGGAAATTAAGAAAAAGAGAACATCTAGTGTGCAAAGTACTGATACTAATAACCTCCTGTCACACTCAGTTATGAAAAAATCAGATGCATATGTGTATGATGAAAACAGCTCCTTGGAAAACAATGTCAGCAAGTTTACATTGACTTTGGAAATATCAGAGGATGTGGTAAATAGCATATACAATAACACCAAGGATCAGGCAAATTCAAAACTGTGGCATGAGCTTAGGAAAGGAAGAATAACAGCTTCCAAATATCACAATGTCTACACTAAAATAAACTCAGTCAACAACAATCCATCAGTATCCACAAATGCTCTTGTTAAAGAATTAATTGAAAGAAAAAAATTTGAAACTGTTGCAACTAAACATGGTATAGCAATGGAAACTCATGCAAAGGAAAAAGTGAAGAATATTCTGAGTAAAACACATATCAAATGTCAATTTCAGGAGTCTGGGATGATTATTGATAAAGAACTACCTTATCTTTCTGCAAGTCCTGATTTGGAAGGATCTTGCAAATGCTGTAGAGACTTTGTTGTTGAAATCATAGGCGTACGGGGGGGTGGGGCTGGGGGGGCTGCAGCCCCCCTAATTTTTGGGGGAATTAATCTATTCGGGCAAAAAGAGTCTTGTCATTCGGGCAAAGACGTTACGACGGTCTGGTGATTACACGGGGAATCTATTCACCCAATAACGCTAAACTGAAACTGTTGTGTATATTAGCATAGATCGCATAACTGGTTCAAGCATGTGCGTCAAATTAACCTTTATTAAAGGTTAAGTGCTATAAATTAACCGGATTTGGTTTTGATCACAATCGGATAAGTAATTTTATACCACACAGTTTAGACTAGTGTAACGGATATCGGATAATGGATTAAATTTAAATATAGGCTAATACTAATAGAATAAGGAAAAGTAAGCTGCCGCGGATGCACCATTGCAAGTGCGTCCGAGATTAATATATAAATATAGCAGTTGATAATAAATATAGCATTCTAGATAATAAAGGAAGCGTACACGCCCTATGGAACGAGAGCATAAATACCAAATGCGAAATATTGAATAATAGAGTTGGATCTAAACCACATGTGTGTGCATGTGAAGTAAACTTACACTAGTCTTTCCTCAGGCCTTTATCTTTTTTGACCGCTTCGTCGCTATATAAATAATCGCCTGGAATATTACAAAACTCAATAACCAAGCTCTAATAAAGCGTATGGCATCTCGTAAAAGGCGGTACCGACACCGTGTTCGGTGCGAGGAATGCAATAAGGAAATCGATAGTGATTATCAAGAGGTGCATTCTCGATTGGTTCATAATGGTAAAAAAGTAAAATGCCATCCAGTAATGGAATCATCAGACTCATCCCAGTCGAAAATCAGTAATTTCTTTCTAAAAAGTAACATGACAACCAAGGACGATGACCTGCAGTATGACATAACCCAACCTGGAACTGAATCGAGTGGTAGTAAAGACTTTGCAGCCACAGTGTCTTTTGATGAAGATCTGCCGGACAAAAATGTGAAGGAACTCGTGAGCAAAGAACCAATAACGGCGTTCATTGATGATGTTGAATTAAATGCATTGTCACAGCTCAGAGAAAATAGTGAACAGAATACAGTGACAGATAGCGAAAATGTTACACCAGAATCAATGACGATGTCTAGTATTCTAGCAGCTACACCAATGGATGATCTTAGTTCACCAGCACATATTCTAGACGAACAGCCTGAAAAGGTTTCCATTCCCAGTGAAAATACAGAACAGATTTCGTCCCTTCACGCCCCAAAACAGCCTATATTAGCGGAGTATCCTGCAAGAAAATTCGGCAATGAAACATTTGTGCGAAGATTTCAATCTGAATGGTACAAGAAGTATCCGTGGATAAGTTATGAAGTGGATAAGGATGCATGCGTGTGTTTTGCCTGCGTGGAATTTGGGAAAGATACTTCATTTGTGTTTAAGAATTGGAAGAAGTCAGCAAAGCTAGCAAAACACGGCAAGAGCGAGAACCATGTCAGGTCCATGGCAAGATGGCTTCAGTTCAAAGCAATGCAGAGAAACAAAACTTCCGTCCTACAGCAGCTGAGTACTGCACACAAGGACCAGGTTGCCAGTAACAGACAATACTTAAAAGTAATCATACAATCCTTGATGTATACTGCGCAACAGAATGTTGCGATTAGAGGTCATGAAGAGACCCGGAATGATATATGGGAGGTATCTGACATAAATCGAGGGAACTTTCTCGAGTTACTTTGCATAAGATGCAACGATTTGCCTTGGCTGAGGTCTAAACTGCAAAGCCAGCTCCAGTTACATGCTCAGTGGACATCGCCTGTTGTTCAAAATGAACTACTAGAAATAGTAGCAAACGTCATGCTTGAGAGGATAGCAGCTGAAGCGAGAAGTAGCGACTATTACGGAATAGTTGTAGACGAAACAGCAGATATCAGTCGAACAGAGCAAGTATCCATTTTCCTTAGATATGTTTTCAATGGCGAAACTAAAGAGACATTTATTGGTTTCTATTCAACTAAATCCACGGAAGGGGAAGTATTATATGAGCTAGTGAAGACAGCCATTAGCAAGCTGGAGTTGAAGTTAGAAGACATAGTTGCAGAATGCTTTGATGGCGCTGCAAATATGAGTGGCGCTCGTAAAGGGCTTGCCGCACGTATGAAGGAGTGTTCACCTCTTAGTATCTACGTTCATTGCCATGGACATCGGCTTAACTTGGCGCTACAAGATACTATGACCACAATTGAGCCACTTCAGAAAGCTTTAGGCGTGATCCAGAGTCTCCATAATTTTTTGGAAGGAAGTCCCAAACGCCACGCTATCTTCAAGGATATCGAAGTCGAAGATGAGGGCGAAGATTTTAAACTGACAATTAAATCGCAGAGCGCTACTAGATGGTCTTGTCGCTGGGCAGCTGTAAAGGCAGTGGTAAACCAAATGCCTAAGATCATCGAGGCTCTTCTCTCACTCTCAAAAGATCGTGATCCGAAGACGTACAATGACAGCAATTCCCTACTTAACTCGATTTGTGACTTTCGATTCGTTTTTGGTTTGATGGTATTAAAGGTTGTTTTGTCCAACACCGATGGTTTGAGCAGATACCTACAAGGAAAGCAGATGGATGTCGTAACGGCAAAGAAGAGTGTTGATGGCGTGATCAAAACACTAAGTGAATGTCGTACCCAGGAAAATTTTGATCTCTTGTGGTCGCGCGCTGAAATCATGGCAGACAAAATCAAGGAACAAATTGAGGGTACTGATTTCAATTTCAAAGATGCAAAGGTACCAAGACTCAAACAGCCATCACGCCGGCTGCAGACACTTGTCGGCGAAATGCCTGAAGTGAATGCAGAAGTGGAGTACCGAACAGTGGAAGACCACTATCGTATCACATGTTACTACCTAAGCATTGACAGGATTGTCGCGGAGATGAAATATAGATTTGAAGGTAATGATCAAGAGGTGCTATTGGCACTTGCAGACATAGTCTTCAGCAGCTCTCCGACCATGAAGAATATTGAGTTGGTATCAGACTTCTATAGTATCGACAGTGAGCTTCTTGGCAGTGAGAAAAACGTCTATGAGAATATTGATGCTGATAACCCTGATCCTGAAAGAAAAAACGCCGCTGAAATTGTGAGGAAAATGTTTGAAAATGGTGTTCATGAAGTTCTTCCTGTTGCTTACAAAGTATTTTCGATTCTGGCCACGATCCCTGCAACATCCTGCTCTGCTGAGAGATCTTTTAGCGCTCTTCGCCGCTTGAAAACCTATCTTCGAAGTACAATGGGGCAAAAACGCTTAAACAGCATTGCCCTTATCAATATTGAGAGAGCTTATGCAAATAGCACTTTAAAGAACGATATGGAAAAGATAATTGACATTTTTGGACAGCGACGTAATCGTAAATCATATTTCTTCTAGTCTAGATTATAGTTTTACAAAACTAAATTCCTTGCATGTCTAGTGCAAAACATGACGGAATTTCATATATCAAATAAAATGTTATTATGTTAGTCACTTTTTCTTTCGTTGTAAATCGTAATGAATATATTTAGTTTAGAATTTAAATGGCTAGGGATGATATTTCTTTTTATATTACGTCTGTCAATCTTCAAAGGAAATCCTTTCATTTGTAGTCTTCTCAGATTATATAATTTTATGATGACGTCACAAAATCTATGACGTCATGTCATTCGGGCAAATTGAGCGCAGCCCCCCTAAAAAAAATATGCCCGTACGCCTATGGTTGAAATCAAATGCCCCTACTCTATTTGCGAGACTACACCTTCTGCTGAAAACTTGAATTATTTGCAGGAAGTCAACACTCATCAGACAACATCACTCAAGCTTAAACACAGTCATTCATATTATACACAAATACAAGGCCAACTGGCTCTAACAGACAAAACATTTGCATGGTTTTTTGTGTATAGTCACCATGGTTACCACATGGAGAAAATTAATTTTGATGAGGATCATTGGACAAAAGTGAAAGCAAATTTAATTCAATTTTGGATGAGACACTTAGCTCCTCAGCTTATTCAATATAATCATTCTCAGTTGTTGGTAATTACAGAGTCCTCTACTTCTACAGACATGGTGAGCATGCCACAAGAAAATTTAGATACTATAGGTCCATGTGTGAAGTCTTCTTGCATTGCTGCCAAGAAAGTAAAGAAGAGAAAATCGAGAAAAGAAGTCATGCCAAAGCTCTACTTGTGTTATGTTTGTTCTGAGGACTGTGTAGACAATCCAGATACATTTGAGAAGAATAGCATTTGTTGCTCCAAATGTGGTCGGTGGCTGCACTTTGGATGTGTGGACATAAAAGAACAGCAAGACGTGGCAAGGCAAAGTGGTTTTGTAAAACATGCAAATAAACTATTTATATTACAGATAAACTATTTATATTAGCTTAAGAACTAACTCTATAAAATAAGTCTAGTCCTTGAAAATTGGTTTTTTGAAATTTGTTAAGGCTGCACACACAACTGCTGCATCATCTATGCATGGTAACAATGTAAGTGGAACCTCTTGAGCCAAGATCTTAAAACTGCGGACTTGTCGAATAACTTGTTCAATAAGAATTCTTAAATTAGCAATGCGTTTGGTTTTTTTTATCTCTGCAGGTAACATTTGGTAGCACCCACGTTTTCCAGGGGGGATGTACAAACCAACATTTCTAGCTGCACAGTCGTCTTGGATGCTAAAGCCTTTGTCAGCCATAATATAAGAATACCTGGGGCATGTGTCCAAAAAATTAGACTCTTTCACGATTTTTTTGTCAGAAATGACCCCTGGGTATGAGCATGACAGAAATGATACATTTGAGTTGGGTAAGCATCCAATCAAAAACTTAATAGTGTTATGATGCTTGTATTCAGACCATGTAAGTTTTTGAAGTTCCAAGCTCTTTGGCGTCTCGATGAACACTTCAAAGCAATCAATAATTTGAGAAACATGTTTAGCATTGTCAAAGCGTTTAGGGCGGGTAACATTCAAGCTTTCTTGATCTGGCACAAATATAAGACATCCAAGTACTTTGGCTAGCAACCGCACCCAGCTTTTGAAAATAGCAGACACAGTGCTCTGTGCGATTTTAAACCTTGCTGCCAAGTCTTTTTCAGTTAGACCAAGTCGAAGTTTTAACAATGTTAAAAACATCCCATCTGTGCTAGAAAGAGCTGGTTTTCGTCCTATTTTGGATGATTTTGAACCTTGCCTTCCAACTTTTGATTTCTTTTTACCAAACCACCTCTTTTTCAAATATGGAGATGCCAACTGGTGAACAGAATCGAAACAAGCCTTGTTGGGGAGTCCAGTGTAGAATGTCACATCACTGTCACTTTTTAAGAGAACTGTGTGCAAGGGCTGTTTGCATTGACAACTTTTTTGGTCGTTTAACATTTTTTTACGTAAAACTTTTATTCTCCAGCTTTTTGATTTGTTCTCTGAGGCTAGGCTTCTGGCAACTTTCTGGGATTCATCCAAAGTGTTGCTTAAAGCTTCTTTCTCTAAAGTCAAAGCCTCTACTTTTTTCTGCAGCTCACTTATCTGTGATGATACACTCTCATCCACTAATTCAGACATGCCATGTTCTCTATGTTCATTAACACCAGAGTTACTAACATCTTGTTCATCAGTTGATTCAGGAGGAAGTACCTGTGATAAGTCTGATGGCACCTCCTCTACATAATCCAGCCGTCTACGTTTCCTCTTCGGTGATGGAAAAAGTTTGAACATTTTTTCTCTTGCATCATATCCCAAATTTTTGGTTGGATAGGAACAGCCTTCTTCAAAATGCTCTGAGCACACCCTGGACTTTGAACCTGGGCTCCATAATTTATTGGTTTTGCTTTGACGATTGATAAGAACACGCCATTTCTTTCTATCCTCAGGGTTTTTCTTTTTCCCAGGAAATGTGAACAGCCTACAATAAAATAATTTATGTTGAATAAGTTAATTGCCATTTTTATCTAATTCACTCGCTGAATAAAAATTAGGTAAACATTAAACTACTCACTTGAATGGTTCAGTACAAGGGTGTCAGGTCGTTTCGTACTCTTGTCATTTCGTACCCATATCCCTGGTCGTTTCGTACTCTAATTGATGGTCGTTTCGTACCCCGATTTTAGTCGTTTCGTACTCAAATGCTATATGACTGCTTTTATTGCAATCAGTTCAGTTTTCATTAAAAGCGTTGATAAAAACTACTTTCTTTGTTGACTTGAAACTCTGTATTGCAACATTTAAGTTTTTCATTCGGCAGTTCAAATTTATCGTTTTGAAAATGGTCCGAAAGTCTACACGCACACTTAAGCGCAAATGGCCATGTGGTACTTGCAGTCTGCAATGCAATGACAATTCGATCTTTTGCGAAGGATGCCGAATGCATGTGGTACCATTCTTGTTGTGAGAACCTGTCTCCGAGAGATTTAAAAATTTTACAAGACCTAACCGAAGATTATCTGTGTTCGTGTTGTACGCGTGTTGGACTGTTGGCGATGTCTTTGATTTCCAAAACGCGCTCCAAAGTGCGACACGTGTTGGGAGGCTAGAAACGGTGCTGCTAAAGTTGAATGTATTTTGGTCGTCGTGGAATACCGTTCTACAGGCTAATTGAGCTATTTCATAAGGAAGCCTTGCTTGTAGAACTTAACATTCAGTTAGTTTCTGAAGGAAAAGTGAGGCGGATCCTTTAATGTAACCCTGTGTACAAAGATCTTTGTGTCAATAGTTAGTGTTCAGTTGTATAAGTAAAAAATAAACGGACAGATCACGGATATATTTTTCGGCAGTTGAAATGAGCTTAAATAAAATATATTCGTCTTCTTGTTTCTGCAAAGCTAGCTCATTAAGTCCCTCATGTGTAAAGTTCGAAACGACCTTGTCTGGGTACGAAACGACCATGTCTGGGTACGAAACGACCATGTCTGGGTACGAAACGACCAGGCCTGGGTACGAAACGGCAGAAGTACGAAATGACAAGAGTACGAAACGACCATAAACCAAAAATACAAACAATTGATGGGGTAAAGCCTAAATATAGACTTCAAAGGACGATGATGTAATTGAAATGCACATCTTTGTATTTAGTTTTTTTAACTAGAAAACAAAAGATTTGATAACTCCTTTTTTCACAGGATTCTATGGATCATACTGATGACATAGGAGCAAACATTAGAGAAAATATATATCTGTTTTTTAACCATTGTTTATATTATTTATTGTTCATGTCTATTAACGTAACAGGCGTGGTTTTGGCGTGTTATTCAAAGACCGGATAACATCATATTTTAGTAAATTTCAGATTTGTCAGTCTACTTAAAGAGGGCTGGGTGCAGTGATTTCTGTGCATCACTTTTGGTTATAATATTGAGGGACTCCATCATTTATTAATTGTGAAAATTTTGCATGTTTTGAATTTCTTTGAACATAAATTTAATGTCATTGTATTCTGCCTATAACGCTGATGTCATCAAAAAGTTTTTGTGACAATTTATATTTAGAACCAAACAGTAATAATAGTGGCAGTTCATGGCTAAATATATAAGCTGAGGTGTCTGTTACTTCAGGAAACGATGATGTAATTCATCAAGATCCATATCTCTATTTTAGTCTTTCTAATTAGAAAACAAAAGATTTGATGACTAGGAGTAATTTTAAAACTCCCTCCCCACTAAACTGTCAAAAATTGAAAAGACGATATTAAGTGTCAGTTGGTGTTTTTCGTTTTAAAATTGATTTTCTTTTATGCATAAAATCTATGATAAGAGTTATTGATTTTTATTTAAATTAAAGAGGAACAATTTGGCAATTTAAAGTTGTTTTGATTGTAGCAGGGGACATAACGACTCTAAACAAGATATTTCTCAAATTCTTAAGATGAATGTCAATTCCGTAAGTGAACATAGGGTTGGTTTACATTTTAAACTTCATACACTTTTTAGAAATACAATCCGTTCTCTCAATGTCCAACAACATTTCGGTCCTCTATGAGCTATTATTTTCAGTGGGGAGGGAGTTTTAAAATTACTCCTAGTCATCAAATCTTTTGTTTTCTAATTAGAAAGACTAAAATAGAGATATGGATCTTGATTAATTACATCATCGTTTTCTGCAGTAACAGACACATCAGTTTATATATTTAGCCATGAACTGCCACTATTAATAATGTTCTGTTCCAAATATGAATTGTCAGAAAAAACCTTTAGATGACATCAGCATTAATAGGCAGAATACACTGAATTAAGACATTAAATTTATGTTCAAAGAAATTCAAAGCAAGCAAAATTTTGGCAATTAATAAATGATGGAGACCCTCAATATTATAACCAAAAATGATGCACAGAGATCACTGTACCAGGCGTTCTTTAAGTTGACTGACAAATCTGAAATTTACCAAAATATTACGTCATCCCATGTTTGAATAACACGCCAAAACCACGCCTGTTACGTTAATAGACATGAACAATAAATAATATAAACAATGGTTAAAAAACAGATATATATTTTCTCTAATGTTTGCTCCTATGTCATCAGTATGATCCATAGAATCCTGTGAAAAAAGGAGTTATCAAATCTTTTGTTTTCTAGTTAAAAAAACTAAATACAAAGATGTGCATTTCAATTACATCATCGTCCTTTGAAGTCTATATTTAGGCTTTACCCCATCAATTGTTTGTATTTTTAACGTTGAACTCAAAATATTTCCACAATTATTTTTAAACTTTTCCATGACATCATCTTCACACTGTTTGGCTGAGCTTCTCTATAAATATGGGTTGCAAACACTCTAATTTTCATTCGATTTTGAATATTCATCTGCGACGAAGATAGAAGAAATCCAAGAACGGCTAGAAAGAAGAGCAACATGACGTCAACGCCGATTAAACGAAAGTCCACCACGATTGACGAACTAAAGGCATCGCCAGTTTCCAAATCTCTCAGAAAAGTCTCGAAAAGCCTGACGTACGCGGTGGTTAACAAAAGTAACTTGCGTCGAAGTTCGAAGTAACTTTCGGCAAGTTCGAAGCACAGAAAAGCTACTACGAACTGAGCTCGTTCAAAATCAAGCAGTCTTATGACAACAACCCCAATGCCGTAAAGATACTCCTCGACAAAGAACTGCTGATGGCCAACACGTCGAAAGACGTCCCCATCGTCGGCTGCTCCACCATGAAAATCCAACAACTTCTTGAGTCAGACAACCTAACGCGTCCCAGATTCATCAACGTTAAAGCAAAGGTCATTAAGATTGAAGAACCATACGAGGTCGGTGCGTTTCCTGATTCGAAAACCAAACGCGAAGTCGTCTTAGCTGATGAGACCGGCCAGGTGAACTTGGTCCTGTGGAGACAACAAGCACAAAAAGTCTCCTTTAACACCGACGATGTTATCCTTCTTGAAAACTTGGTAACAACTACCTTAAATGGCAAAATGAATCTGACCACCAGTTTTGAGACAACCATCAAAGTTCAGCCTGGAGATAAAATAGAAGTCGTTGCGAATCTGGAAACTTTCGCTACAAAGATCGAAATGACAACGGCCGTATTGGCAATTAAAAAACTTTCAGTACGCATGCAAGTGCTTCCTCTGTAAGTCGACCATTGTCCAAACAGCTGTCAACATGGTCACAAGGGATTGTGCATCCTGCAAGGGATCTTTCTTATCAAGACTAGCTACTGTGACAAACCAGTGCCTGGTGATGCTTTTAGATAATAACTGGTACACAGCAACTCAATCTGTAAGTATATTAATGTCACAGTGAAATAATTTTAAATCATGTCAAGCCACTCAACTATTCTTCTTTAAGGTTTAACCAAGATTACCTTCTTTATATGTAGATAAAATTAACAATTTCTTTACTCTCTCCTTAGGTTATCTTGAGCTTGTTGAACTGGACAGAGCCAAAACCTCAGCTGGATGAAAAAGATAAGGTTCTTCTGCTGACAACAAAATACACACTGGAGATAGACCCAAACCGAAACATCATAGAAAGTGCTATCCAGTATGAAGATTCTGAAATGCCAAAAGATGACCTTGAAACTTTGGACATTAACTAAGTTTTTAATTGACATTCTAGTCTTTTATATGCTTATATACAGGCTGTTCAAGTTTGAAATTGTAGTTTTTTCTGAATAATTTTCATCATTGTAAATACTTGCTTTCTAAAAAAATCCATTTTTAAATAAAAGTTAATTGAACAGTATATGATTGTTCACTTTCATTATTTGTTCTATACTTCCTAGTTTCTTTTACACTTAAGTTTTCAATCACAACTATGTGCTTTAATTATCTCCTAGCTGCATGAGCAGGGCCTATACATGTTTATAACTTTCACAATTAAAAATTCCTCTCCCAATTAAAGTCTGACATATCCTATATATTAAACAAGGATACTGGACACTGCCTTTTCATACCCAAAAATTAAATTTTTAGCCAGACATGCTCATACAGAACATTTAAGCTTACTAAATACTCAAAATACCTGTCCCTTTTTAACTACATCTTGTCAACACAGGTCACCATGTCTTATAATGAAACTTCCAATCTAACAATCATCTTTATCTAAGAAAAACCACTTATGAATACGTTTTGTCTCTTAATACGTACACCTCTAACACGTGGGGTGAGCGACCATAAAATACACCTTAGTCGTATACGCTAGTTTAACTCAAATTTCTGACAAATATAAGAATCTTCCCTTGCATTTCAAGTAATTCACCTTTCACAAAAAAAATTGCACAAAACTTTCTCAATCCCTCGAATATTTAAACAAAATAAAAATGAGGATCGAGCATTCGATTGTTAAACTAGCCTCTATTCGGCCTCATTTCGCATGCTTTAAATTTTCGTGACGTCATCAATGGCCAATTATCTGAGAACAAGGATGCTCGCCACTGAACTATATAATGTTTTAATAAAAAATTATTATATAGCTCAGTCATGCTGGCCCATCCACTGGTGGGGCACACACGCCGGAGTTAACGCCTGAGCTGGCGTCTTGTTAATCTTGAATTTGAAGTCCAAATATTTCGCTTAAGTTGTTTTCCGAAACTTTCTACAATA